TCCCACCTAGTGGCCACAGCCCTCAGCTCCGCAGGGAGGGGATGGTGCCCAGTGAGGGCTGTGTCCCCGTCCCTGTCACCTGTAGAGTTTGGTGCCAGCCTCAGCCTCCAGCTGCTGCCAGAGGCGGAAGCTCTCGGGCATCATGCAGGCGTAGTACTCCTCGGGGTAGGCGCTGCGGATGATTCGGCTCTGGCCGTGTGAGCTGCCCCGTGAGTGGGGCACCAAGAACTGTGGGGCAGAGGGGACACGGAGGGGACCACACACACCTCCACCCCCACTCCCACCGGCCCCATGTGCACCGATGCTGTGCTGCACCTGGGGACACAGCCTTGTCCACTGCAGCACTGGGAATCAGCTGGAAACAGGGGTCTTGGCACTGGGGACCCAATACTGGGGACATGAGAGTCCTGGCACTGGGGTCATGGGGGTCCTGGTGCTGAGGACAGGGTGTCCTGGCACTGGGGTGCCAGCAGCAGCTTTACTCCATGCCATGGCAGCGGGCAGCCAGGTCTGCAGGCACTCACCCAGCCTTTTGGAGACGGGGACATGGCAGGATGTGGTCACTGGTACCTACCTGCTCCAGTAGGAGAGTGTCCTTGTGGCGCTGGGCCAGGTGGTAGGCGGTGAAAGAGCCCTGGATGCCAGCCCCGATGACGATGGCATCGTAGGTGGCCTTCTGGTTCTGACTTGGGGCAGCCATGTCTGTCCTCGTCCACGTCCCTGCTCCTGTACCAGAGGGCAGTCAGGAGTGGAGCCAAGGGGAGGAACAGGGCAGAGTCCAGCCGGGCTGAACAGGTGATGGAACCTTGGCTGCCATCCAGACCTATGGCACACAGGGGCCACATCTTTCCCACCCCTTTGGGGCTGGCCAGAAAGAAGAATCCCCATTTTCCCACCAGCAGCAGCACCTGGTCCCACCAGGGCAGGCAGCTCACCTGATCAGAGCGAGCAGGTGGGATAAATGTGATGCAAAATCACTTCCAATAAATCCCCCTTTCCCTCTCCACTGGCCATTGCTGTCTCTGGCTGTGGTGGGACGTGGGGCTTGATAATGCTCCCATTCATGTGCGGATGAGAAACCCCCACTTGCTTCCAGGAAAAGAGATTTTTTTTTCCCCCGACACAATTTATTACAGCCATAAACCATTTTGTTGCCATCTTCTGTTGTTATTTTTTTAACAGGAGATAGGAGTGATTTAGGGCTTGCCAGAGCTGCTGGGACACGGCATGGAGCCCCATGTCTCACTGGAGGTGGTGGATTTTGCAAGTCTGCAGATTTCTGGGATGTGATTTGGGGTTTCAGGACACTCAGCGATGCCTTGGGGTGGGGGATAATGCAGGCAGGGGCTGCCAGTTTTGCCCACTGCCTCCCACTGCCCCGTGCTGCCTGACAGCTAATTAAGGGAATTAATTTACTCTGGCTTCTGTGGTGTAAAAGGCATTATTTACTGGTTAATTGTCGCTATTACGGAATGTTAAATATCATTATTTATTTTGCCTCTCACCTCCGGTGATGAATGAAGCATTGGGGAACACTGGAGGCCCCACCAGGTCAGGGGGATACCCCAGCATTGTGCAAACACAGAACCAGCAGCTTACAGCAATGGGGAGGTTAGAGAAGGAGGATGGGAAGCACAGGGAAAGGTTGAGGTTCCCCCCAGACCTCTCATCCACCTCACTGCCCACGACCAGTGCTGCAATGAGTGCGTGCCAGTCTCAGCATCACCGCAATGCCCAGGGCTCTGCATCGCATGGGGCCCCGTTAAATCAGCACATCCTCCCTTGCCTTTGATGTTACAAATAATTCACCAATTTCTCTGGGTTTCAGCTCACTTTTTTTGCTTTGAACAGCCCCTCTACCTGCTCTCCCTTCTTTTGCTGGAAAGATGAAGAATAATTAATTATCCGTGAAACATTAAACGGTAAAAATGAACTCCTCTCCCGTTAGCAGTGTGTTAATAGAATGGATGGAAAAGCCTCACTCGTGATGCTACAGGGCTGAGGAGACCATTGATGTGGTGCCAACAACCATCCCCAGGGCACTGTGGGATCCCTCAAGCTATCACTTTCATTCCAGAAGTGACCCCAGTCAGGGCTGATCCCAGGCATCAGAGAGGTTTGCACCCTCAGACCCCAAAAAGCATCTGCACAACCTCATCTTGCCTTAGGGTGAATATTTGGGGGGTTCCCCCAGCCCTGTGCTGGGGTCTCTCTCATCCGTGCCGTGTCCTCTTCATCTGGGTTTATGTTAACTGGAGGCAATGCTCATGGCAGCAAGAAATCCATTTCCCTAAGCAGCCGGCACGGGTCAGGAGAGCTCAGTAAAAATGAAATATTCCCTGTGTGGGCTGGGTGGATGGATGGGAAAACTCAGGGCTGGCACCAGCACAGGGAGGGGGATATGGGGGCTTAGAGAACTGCCTGGCACAGGCTGCAGGAACTGCCCCAGCTCAGACCCACGTGAGGCTGGGGGAGTGGGGAATTAGGAACTTTGGCCAAGGCTGGGCAGGGATCAACTGCGGCTTGATGGGTGCTGGACTCTGTACCAGCTGCACCCACTGCACTCTGGAATGGCAGCTGAAGTTTCCCAAAATCCCATCATCCATCTGTGCTGGCCTGATACTCCACCAAGCACAAAACAGCACTTAAAAAAGAATTAGGGAGCAATGTTGTTCTCTGGGGAGACAAGGGGAACATGGAATCCTTCCCAACCGTCTGCAGCGTGATGTCTCCAGGTATACTTGCCCCCATTTTCCTCCTCATCCCTCACCATTCCCAATGCTTTGATGGCATCAGCAAAGGATTGTTTGCTTTGTGTCAAAACCAACAGCCACCAAAGGCAGCCCCTCATTAGCAGTCCAGGTACATGCCTGGGGAAGCATCAGGCAGATTAAAATTATTTGAATATCATAATATTAGAAACTTCAATTTGGCCTCAAAATGCTCATCTTCCGAGCCCTACCAGGGCTTTGCTGCATTAAACATTGATGGAGCTACAGGAGGATCAAAGTTTTGGGTTTAGAGCTGAAAGTGCTTTGCGGGAGAGACGGCTGCACCCCCGGGATGAGAAGGATCCCAGCATGGCTGTTGGCCCCATTCCCACTGCAGCAGTGGAGTTGGTGGCACAAAGTCCATGCCATGGGGCTGGTGGCACACAGACACTGCCATGGAGCTGGCCACTGCTTTTTCCTCCCTATGCTGATCCATGCAGCACATGGTTTGCCATTCTCCATGGCAGGAATTGATACATGTCAGCAAAGCAGGACCTGGGATTAAAAATAAACTCCCACCGGAGCTGGCTGTGTGGGCTGTGTGTGCAGCGGGGCTGGCTGGGCTGCGGGGGATCCAGCAAGCAGAAGCCATCTGGGCTTTCACGGGGATGGGGAGGGGGTTATTAAA